ATTATCTTATATTCGCTATCTAAAGGTAACTCTAATGGTGGTAAATTTTTAACTTCTTTTATCCTTTTGACGAATTTTATATCTGATTGATTAAAATATTTTTGTCCTTTATTAGATAATTTATTATACAATGGTCCTACTTTCTTTCCTAAGTCTTTAATAAAATGTCTAGCGTAATTTAATATTCCTAAAAAGGCTTGTAATTTTTTAGTTTCTTCAATTTTATCTAGAAATTGTAGAATTGCCTGTACTATACGTTGTTGCAACTGGATCTTTCCTTCTCCTAGAATTATTCTTAAAAATTCAATTATTTATTTATTTATTTCCATTTTCTTTTTTACTTATAATTAAACCATTTTCTATGAACTTAGTCAAAGTTATTTCCAAATGTTTCATATGTTCTTTATGATCTTTACTATGAACTAAAATATCATCCATATATACACAAACAAAAGAAAGAGAATTGAAAATACTGTCAATCTTTCTTTGAAAATTGCATGGACTAAACATTGAACTAGGTCCCTTTAGTCAAACTTCAATTACCACAATTATCGATTTAGGCTCTGTTCACAACGAATAGGGTTGTTAATGATCATGCACTCTTATCTTGATACTAGTGTCTTTAAGAAATGCACAATCTCATAGTTACAGCCTCATGGAAACTTTGACTCACCAAGGATGCGTGTGACCCACACATCGCGAGAATTTTTGTCTTGGTACTCATTTAGGGTAAACCCTTCCGATGGCACAATATTTAACACTATCAGCATAGGGATGAACACAAATAATATAGTGTGAGTCACACAGTGCGAGTCTTTTATCACATTGAACCTCTTTATAAGATCTCTAATCACGAAGGTTGGAGTACTCCCGAAGGTGACCCCATTATGGGTTTAAGCTCATCCCGTTCAATATTTTATATAGGTCGACGACGAACTACAAATTATTTATGTCCCTCTTGACAACAGTTAAGTATCATATATTTGCAAAGCTTTTATTCTCCACGTGTACAAAGTCTTGATTTTGTTGAAATCTGATTCTTTATACATTTTGATGGACCAACCTAGCTATATGCATTTTATTAATGCCCATGTCGAGCCTTGTGATTTTGAACTCTATAATCTTAGTGTTGGACCTTAGGGAGTTACTTCAACGAGAAACTCAATCTCTATGATTATAGATTCTACGAAGAAGGTTCAATATGACAGAAACAACTTATAGTACGTGACTCATAATAGTATTGTATTATTTATGCTTATCTTTATAGTGATAATTCTAATGATAGTGATGTCGGGAAGAGTTTTACATTAAATGAGTACTGAGTTGAGAATTCTCGCGATATGCGGGTCACACGACCTTTGAAGGACTCTCCTATATAAGAGTTGCCATGAGGCCATATCTATGGCATTGTGCTATTCACTAAAGACATTAACTAGAATCAAAATAAGAACGCATGATCATTAACAGCGCTAGCTATTATGAACTAAGCCTAAATCAATACTTTGAGTGTAGCGAGTTTGGCTAAAGGACCTAATTCAAAGCTTAATCCACTATGAAGAAGGTTCAATATGACAGAAACAACTTATAGTACGTGACTCATAATAGTATTGTATTATTTATGCTTATCTTTATAGTGATAATTCTAATGATAGTGATGTCGGGAAGAGTTTTACATTAAATGAGTACTGAGTTGAGAATTCTCGCGATATGCGGGTCACACGACCTTTGAAGGACTCTCCTATATAAGAGTTGCCATGAGGCCATATCTATGGCATTGTGCTATTCACTAAAGACATTAACTAGAATCAAAATAAGAACGCATGATCATTAACAGCGCTAGCTATTATGAACTAAGCCTAAATCAATACTTTGAGTGTAGCGAGTTTGGCTAAAGGACCTAATTCAAAGCTTAATCCACTATGAAGAAGGTTCAATATGACAGAAACAACTTATAGTACGTGACTCATAATAGTATTGTATTATTTATGCTTATCTTTATAGTGATAATTCTAATGATAGTGATGTCGGGAAGAGTTTTACATTAAATGAGTACTGAGTTGAGAATTCTCGCGATATGCGGGTCACACGACCTTTGAAGGACTCTCCTATATAAGAGTTGCCATGAGGCCATATCTATGGCATTGTGCTATTCACTAAAGACATTAACTAGAATCAAAATAAGAACGCATGATCATTAACAGCGCTAGCTATTATGAACTAAGCCTAAATCAATACTTTGAGTGTATCGAGTTTGGCTAAAGGACCTAATTCAAAGCTTAATCCACTATGGCTCTATCAAAAGGAAATTGTTATCACTAAATGAAATTTAAGTTTGAAGAACACCTACACCTATTGTGCGTGCGTGCGTGTATGTGTGTGTGTGTGTGTGTGTGTGTGTGTGTAGGTATAGCCCTTGTTTGAGGCCCATTCTTTTGAAAAAATGCATTTTTCTACAATATTTTAATATCATTTCAACCACAATCTTCAATAAAATAATATTACACACAAATTCAAAATTTTTCCTTACTTTTTAACCACACATTATTTATCAATACACTATTCAAAAATTCATTCTCTCCCCTAGAATGGGGTTCAACCAAGGGCAT